AATAGTATTGGTGAAGTTGTGTGCCTAGCTTTTCCGAACAGGTACTTTTAGTCATAAATATGGATCCATGAAATACATGTTGGCTCGTAGTTTCCGATTGGTGCATCATTAAGCAAACGAAAAAAGAAAGGAGCGATGCCGCACATGTTTATCTTTTGTCAATAGAGTTAAGAAAGAAAGATGGTTTTTCGTTTTCCTTTGGTTAACTGTGCATCAATCGGAACCCACAATTAAACATATATTCAATGGATGCATATTTATAGCGATGATTTACTCATGTTGGAGAATATCAGCATCTGGGCCGTATCCCTTAAGGGGGAGTTCTCCCAACGTTCCCAGTTTGTAGAGGATACTTCGAAAAAAACTAACATACAATGTTAGTAATTTTTTTGCATGCGTAGATAGTTCGGACGTTACTCTACAAAATTATGCTAGTTTGGGCGCTCCAGCTATCGTCGTTCGAACAGGCCTTGGTTTCCCCGAGCACGTGTCTATCTTCGAGCAGATATCTCTGGGAATCTTGAAATGCCATGGGGAATATAGGTAATCGACTACACTGAGCATAATGGCAACATTTGTTTTTATGTAGAAATGACTATAACTTCGTCAGAGGCATTTTTCTGAAAAAACGGTTTTTCGCCTGTTAGTAGCAAAAATTAAAATCCTTAAACCTCGATCAAATCTCATATTGACTCAAGCAAATTTTTAGGAAAGACTTAAAAGGTGCCATATACTGTTGATCACTCCGAAAAAGTGGTCCAGCAGAACACTGATGCTTTGAGGTTTTTCAGAAACTTCTGAAAAATCTTAAACCAATGCGCGGCTGAAATTTACTTTTTTCATCTTCGATTATGCTTTATGAGCTGTCCTGAGCGTGTTCTGAAAATTTACTTGAGTATAGCTGATAGTTGGAGCGCTGGGACTTGCATATTTTTGTAGACTCCGGACTATCTACGCATACAAAAAAATTACTAACATTGTATGTTAGTTTTCTGAGAACGGACCTGGTTTTCCAAATATCCACCTGGAAAATTCCTCAAGATGCAGCAAAAAGGTTTTTTCTGCTATAGCTCGATGTGCCCCGGATTTGGCTACAAACTGACGAAAAGCGTTTCTCGATATCTCTTTGCGTTCCCGAGTTATTTGAAGAGGCTAATGGACACAATGTTTGGAAACGCTTCATTCCTACTGAAAAAAAGTAAGGTATTGACTTTGGCCAGATGGTTTTTATTGTGGCGGTTTTCTAGAAATCCCGTAAAAATCCTCAGTTGCTCATAAATATTGAATTCAAACTAATCTGAAAGTCGGATTCAGTGTATCATTTTAGGGCAATTTAGTATTTTTTCCGGATCCTGACTCTAGCCAGGTGATGGGATTTTTATAGGATTTCTAGAAAACTGCCACAAGAAAAACCACTTGGCCAATTTCAGTGCCTTCATTATTGCGTCATATAAATAGACCTGGAAACTGCTTGCATCTGAATATAAATAAAGTTATGTTTTGTTAGATTTTGAGCTCGTCCAACACACTATAAAACGAGTGATATCTGCTAATGCAGATAAGGTCCTCCAGTCAAAAATTCTGTGCGAATGTCAGAGGAGAAAATCGCATTTGCGGATAGAAATACGCAAATTTGTTATTTCTTTGTTATAGTTTGTTATTTCCAGTCATTGGTATGAGAACGCTTGATAGTATTAGATAAGTTCAGACTTCGCTGTTCTGGTACGCATGAAAACGCTTCAATTCCGAACTTATAGCCTAGGCAAAACTGTATTTGGAATAATTTTTCCACAGAGCGACAAGGATCTTTACACACCCTCCGTAGGACTATCGATTGCATATAGTCAAACCTACCTGGCTTTTAGCTCATGTAATACTGAGTGGACCTGTGCGGAAGTACCCAAGATCCTCTTCAACAGATACCCTGATCTTTATTTGTTCGAGCGGGGTAACGATTTTTCTTCAGATCAACAGATCTTATCTCTAATAGTGCATCTGCCCGAATCTGCTAGTGGAATGTGAAATTTTCTAGTTCATGCAATACTGGGCGGACCTGTGCGGAAGTACCCTACTTTGCGCTAACAGTTCAATGAAAAATGATCAACATAATCCTGTTGGAAATTTTTCAGACACAGTCGAATATTCCGAAAACCTCCTAGTTTAGAAAATCCTCCTGAAAACATGTCCCCTTATGTAAACATTCCCCAACGTTTCCTCTTCTAAAAGGCAAAAACTCAATCTCTCTAACTCGCTTTAGTTGAGAGTATGAGAAAAATGGCCATACCTATTTTATTCTTGAACAGACAGTATATAAAATGCATAACACTTTTTTCATCTTCTAAAACACTGCTTTGACAGTGTAAGAAAATAGGGGTAAGAGTTCATTAGTGTTTTTTTAAAAGATAAATGTATCTCTATTTATGCCCTCTACTAAAAATTCTTATGTTATTCCTATTTATCAGAAGGCAGCTTATGAGTTGGTTTTGCTGCTTTCTGTTATGTTTAAGTTGCTTCTGTTGGGTGGAAAACTGCATAAGCATTTTTGATATTTCTTATGAATTTCTTACGACCCTCTTATGAAAAACTTATCAGATTCTTATAAGACACTTACGACTGTCTATGGGACTGTCGAATTTTGGAGTATTTTGAATGAAATACATTTTCAAGTTTGTGGAGGAAGCCATTGTAACATAAGGTGAAACCATGTGAACCAATCTATACAAGTCTGAAATCTCTATCTATTATCGTTACTCAATAATTGTTAATTTCTATCTCTAAATTACATTATATTTTAACTTACGGTAAATAACAATAAACTATATTAAAATCAACAAGTAAATTAAAACAATGATTCTAGCATGCCCATTATATATATTAGATCATTCAGAAGCGTTTAGCACTAAAAATAAACAGATCAGTTCATTGATTACGAGCAGATAAGTGTAGTCTACGGGCGGTAAACGCTGAAAATAGTAGAGCGAGCCATGTTAATAAAATTCCAGTCACGAAAAGAATAAAACCTGTTTCAGAACATTTCAGAGCACCAGAACCGTCTGCCAAAGCGGCCATCAAAGACAGTCCCGCTAGGAAAAAGGCCAGTGGCGGAATGAATGTAAATAATTGATGGATAAGAATAATAGACATGAGTAATGTTAATAAAACAGCAAAAAAGATAAATATGATACCCATAATAGATAATCCAGCTGCACTACGTAACCGTTGAATATCTCCCATTGGCACATGTGAGACGGGAGAACCGTACTCAATCAGTGAATAATGAGGATTTTCGCACCCAGGACCCGATTCATCGTTCACAATTGATACACACCTGTAACTACTATAACTTGCACACATTGATGTACCATTTTCGATAAAACATGTATAAAAATAATTGGCCGTTGACAAAATTTCATTATTCTGATCGCGTGCCACATACCAGGTTGGCAGAGCAATACCAACAGAACAAAATACCAGAGAAATAACACCGCACACGACACTTGTAATACCAAATCGACGATCAATAGGTTCAGTATAACTAAACATTATGTTTCAATCTTCAAGTTTCAAAAACATTTATTTACGACA